TTATTAATTATATGACACCGATTGTTTTTACTTATTAGTTTTATACCTTTAAAGAAGTACTTTAATTCATACCAATAAATACTAGAATTTTTAATAATCATTAAAAAATTTATAAAATTGCACTAAAACATTTAAATATTAAGATATATAAATTTTACTCCTATAATTTGTGAGTTTTCGACAGGATCGAGTGCGAACCAAACCGAATATCACTACGCTCGAGCTCGTTAAGCTCGGGTTGTTAAATTAAATGCGAAATCACACTCGAACTCAAATGCTTAAAAAATGTTTGGTTCAATAACAACCTTAAACAGTTAAGCTAAACCTTTTGTGTGCAGTAACAATTTTTTTTATTGCTTAGCCCACCCCACTCTGCATTCCTGGATCCGCCCCTGCATGCAGGTTACATGGTTTTTGTAAATGATGTACACAAAAGTACTTTCACATAGATTTTTCGTTTTGGTTTTTATAGTTGAGATGTTATTTGTTCAATGTCATGACTCATCACTCAAACTAATTTTTTATTTAGAGAATAAATAATCATATTTGTGATTAATGTTTTTTTACTAACGTCTGCTTTCATAGGCACAAGTCACACAAAACATATTTGATTTCATCTTCTTTGCTTTTATCTTCTGAAAAGCACATTTATGGACTAAAACATATAAAGGCAAGCATACTAAAATATTTGACTTTACCTTATTTGCTTTTATCTTCTCCATTATATTCGTCGTCTTCCTAAAAAATTATTTAATTTTTTGGTTTTATGGATCAGTCTCTGGGTCGCGTCTAATGAATTTGGAGGCACTGATTTCAAATGGTGATTTGAGCCCCCCTAAAATAAGAGAAAATATAACATTCAACAATGAAATACAAATAAACTAGATACTTCAATGAAATATAAGTTTTATGATTTTTAAAGTATACAAATTAGAGAATTTAAAAGTTATATATCTTTTGAAATTTTAAATAATACCTAACATCTAGAAAAATAAACATATACTCCGTACATAAGAGTACATTCTAAATTTTTGGAACCCTAACAAGAGTGGGTCTGGGTCCCGATCCCAGGCAGCTATTGCACCTCCTAAAAGACGATTTGTGGATCATTAGATATATAAAGATGATTAATAATCAGCGCATAGTCCCGGGGAGCCATACTAAGATCCGGCTCACACCAAACTGAGAAATATGTACTTTTAATATATCTCTATAAACGTTTGTATAAATATTTACTCCGTATCTCTTATATACCTTTCCTGCGCCACTATCAATAATTTAATTTAATAGTATGTGAATAGTTTACTAGACTTTCAGTACCAAATTAAGATATGATTATTGTAATGTTAATGAGCAGGTGCGTTTTCACGTGACAAGAACCCTGCCTCGGCGTCTCGTGACGATCTAAATACGACGTCGTATGGAGAAATTGGATTGCAGGCCAAACAATGTGTCGGGAGTTTCGGACCTTGCGATAAACTCTGCGATGAGGCCTGCTGCTTTGATCTTTGTCGGAGTGCATACCGTGACCTTCATCCACGCCCTGTATGTGAAGGAGACCCAAAATTTTGTGTATGTTATCATGATTGTTATTAGATAATAATAATTGTTATTATTTTTATTGATATTATTGTTTTTTATTATCATTAAACATTTCTACTTTTTACTAGCAATATATGTACCTGAAAATTCTAAAACATTAATTACGTCCTCAATTGTAGATGGTTTCTTGATACCCATTTAGGTCTCGTGATTCGAGTAATGTACTTTGTCTCCATATTCAATGACCATTTTGATGTTTTCCTTAAGTTCTTTTATGCTTATCATGTACCAGAAAGATCCTCATGACACTCAAACAAATTTGCTCGAAGTTTCTCAAAAGTAAACCTAATTTTGGACCATGACTTTATTAATAACAATTAACTAGTTTCCTTTCAAAAAAAGAGTTAATGAAACTCATCATTAATTCAATTATTCAATATATATGACCAACTATGTCACACATACACATTCACTTGATCCTTGTACACCTGTTTCTTCGTAGGCAGGACTATTGCTTGTATTTTTGAGAAGAAATTGTAGTAATATGTACCGAAAAAAGAAACACGACTAAAAATCCCAAGACGTTTTGGAAATGTGAATTATTATCAAAGGCGAAGAAAATGAAGTCACAAGTAAAAAAGGAATAAAAAATCGACTCTTATGATCAAACCACTGTAGTAAAAAAGTGATTGTAATTATATAAAAGTGATTTTGGAACAAAATCGGCAGCGGTAGGACCAAATTGGCGCCACTCCAAGTGGTTGACTCCGGCGTCGGGCCCACTAGTTAATGAAGGAAAGTGGTTTAAACTAGCAGTGGACCCGTCGAGCTGGGGCTAGATTTGCCCAAATCTACAGAAAACCAAGCGACAATAGGTATGGAGCCGATCCCGCGCTCTGGCTCGGTCCGGAACCTAGTCCGGTATTCTTTGGGATCAGATCAGGTCCATGTTTACAGTCTCGTATCAAGACTGGGTACTCGACCGAGTAAAAGGGGTATCGGGTCCCAATTTGCATTATTTGGGACATGACCGGGTCCATTTTTACAAGACCGGGTACCCGACCGAGTAAAAGGGATACCTGATCCCGATTTGCGTTATTTGGGACTAGGTCGGGCGGTCCCGATCCCAACAATAAAGTCTTTTTTTAAAAGGGGGTGGGGCATGTAGCCGTCGGGAATAGCTATATATAGCCGTTGGGTGGGGCATAAAATCCTTTTTTTGCAAAAGAGAAATTTATTATATTAAAAAAGTAAAGGAGAGTACAAACGCTAAAAAGATAATCACAAATGAGAGAGAAAAGCTAACGAAAAGGCTAAAAAAGTCTTCAAATATTCTTAGCAAGCCTTGCAAATGTTCCTAGCTAGCCTTGCACTCCTTCTTGGAATTTTAAATCAATTCCAGGATGGATCACCTGAGCGGTCTAGCAATTCACGATCCGTCAACCCTGTCGAAAAACACATAACTTCTATTTCATCTTCCGAAGATACTGAACCAAGAATGCCCTGGGTCGGATTAAGCTCACCTTGTCCCTCTATTTCTCAACAGACTCATAAGTGGGTTCATTTTGTAAAGACACATTCTTATCCTCAACATGTGAAAAAATCTCTTGTGAAGTCAAAGCCCCTCTATCTGAGTCCAAAAAATTATCATTGTAGCTTCGCAAATTTTCCCGGAAAATTTCCTCGGAGATAGAGATAGTATTATGAAAGGTATCAAAATCCCTAGGATTAATCTCAAGATCAATCACCTGCAAATTAACTGGGTTTTTCTTCAAAGACACCTCAATTGTTGAGTCCAAAATATCCTGTAAAGCAGTTACAAACTGAGATAACCCTTTATTGTGAAAACCTTCTGGAATTATAACTCCAGAGGTTTTCACCCCAGACACTTTCTCATTAAAACTATAGTATCCCCCAAATTTATTCCGCTCATAGCAAATCTTATAGGATTTGAAGCTTCATATCTAGTGAAACACCAAGGATCCAAGATTTGCCTTCACTGATTCTCAACAACAAGTCCCGAAGCCAGTAAGGAGTTTCCTGTCCTAGCAAAATTTGATAATGTCTTACGTTTTTTGAATTCAGAAATGCAAATGAGAGAGTTTTTTATGCCAAAACTAAATTTTTTGCTTTTAATTTGAATAACATCCAAAGCCCTGCTCTCCCCTTGAACTCTGTTTTGCCGATTAAAGATCTGTTGGGTGTGTTTCGGAAAATAAAGAAAATTAATTAAAAGAAATTAATTAAATAAAATGACAAAAGAAAACAGAAATGAGATGGAGCAGAAATTTGTCAAAGCTCGTGCTACGCACGATGTCCTTAAAACGTATTTGTTGCCTCCCACGGTGCTAGGAGCGTTGCAACAATAGTTTCCCAGGATACGATGACAACGAACTAATGTTTGAGCACACAAACAAGAGTTCCAACGAACGAGAACAAAGACTGAACACAGAAGGAATTTTCAGAGTGCTAGCAGTGTGTTTTTAGAGCTAAAACGTGTATGGAGTGCAAGAATGCGTGTAAGAACGTGTGTTGTTGCAAACCACCTGCCAGCCATTATATAAGAGGATTTGTTGTACGAAAATAGTGAATTAATGGACCTGAACGTTGGACATCAATGACCAGTCCGTTGGGCATTGAATCGTCCATGAACTGTCCATTTAACACTGCATTAAAAGATATAAACGTTGGGCATTAATTGTTGTAACGATTCAGAAGTGCGAGAGAAGACCTCCATCAGAACTCCCCGGGAGGGGTTCTGATCGGAGGCGAACTCTGATCCGCGGCCATCAGAGTACCCCCAACTCTGATGGGCGGCCATCAGAGTACCCCCAACTCTGATGGGTGGCCATCAGAATACCAACGAGAGGGGTTCTGCCATCAGAAGACCATCGAGGTGTTCTGATCCGAGCACTTCTGCCGCTGGGAAAAAATTAAACGTTTCGGGAAGAAAACAAAAATTAATCGTATCTCTTAAGAGATAGATTTTTGGACGACATTCGTGTCCGCAGGTCGCCCACGCACGCAAGTCGCGGTTTTTCTTCCCCCCCCCCCCCTGCGCGCGTGGAGAGAGCCTCTACCCTAAGGAATCTTAACTCCTTAAGGGGGGAGTCCCTTTATAAAGGGTTGCAAATCCCTTGGGTTTTCCGGTGTGGGAAATTAACACTAGAAACCCATCCTTTTTCCCAGTTTTTCCATTCTAACGGGTAAACTTCGAAAAGCGATTTCTCATTCACCCGTTATCCGTTTTGAGCGTACCATATATCGAATTGTAGCCCTTAACAAGGACAATCCGAAACCACTTTGACCCGACCCAAATCGGAAGTGGACCCCACTCAAAAAATTGCCCCAAAATAGCCATTTAATGCAATTTTTCACACATTTTTCCAACAAGATCTCCCCTTGCCCCGAAGCATGCTTTCTGTCCTGAATTTGACTTCGTTCTGGCCCTATTGAAACTTCTAAATAATTCTTGACAGATAGTGATTCACTTAAGGGTGACTCAATTCCTCCTTTGCTGAAGGATTCTAACCCCGGTGTTTTAATTTTCGGCCCCTTATTCTGTACTTTTGCCTTGTCCTTTGCTTTTGAGAAGATCCAGGTTCAGCTGAAATACAAGTATCCCAGAAATTATCGGCATCCCTACAGTTGTGTAAATTAATGCCCGTAGAACGCCCCGTTCCCGATCGATGAAGAGGCGCCACAATATCACCGAAAAGAATATTTCCACCGGTGACATCGGTCACACCGGAAACCTCCTGAAGCGCTTTGCTGCCCGGAAATTTCTGTCCACTATCAACGCAACAACAAGACCACTTATTGGGCTGGGAGAGAGCCCGTCGTCGATTCCCCTCGACTAGCCTACCTGAGAATCCCGGCGGTTGTTTCCAGCAACGATCCCTGATTCCCTGTTCTTTCCTCATCGATGTGAGATAACAAGCACCAATTGATGAATCCCAGTGATTGGATCGCACAATCCATGGTCTTCGATTTCCAAGTGAAGCTTCTCGGCGGCGAGAGCATGGTTGATATGCAGCGGCGACTGTGGCAGAACATCCCTGCGGCGCTCTCCAACTTAGATCTTAATCGCCGGTTCCCCTACTCCCTTCTCTCATCCGCCTACCCTTTCAAAATCCACTATCCATCGTTCTCTCCAGTACTCTCAATCTCTATTATTTCATTTTGGGGTGTTTGGATCTGATTCTCCTCCTTTTGGTAGCAAAAGCAGAATCTGGAATGTTTGGGTGAAATTCCAGAACCACTTCTGGAACTCTGATTTACTCTCAGAATCAGTTTTTTAGAAGCTGGGAGCTTCTGAAAACTCATTATGATTCTGATTCAGCTTTTAAAAAAGAAGCAGAAGCAGAATCAGTTCCAAACACCCCTTTATATATTAATACTCCTTTTTTTTGAAAGGATATACTGATACTCCTAATTTTAATCGTTAATCATTCTGATATTCTCGAAATGAGAAGACTATATCTGTGGATATTTTCTGATTATTTTCAGTCTCAGACCAAACCATATTAGACCAGAACAAATCAGACTGGACTTAAACAGAAAAGATCAGACCAAACTTAAACAGACTAGACCAGACTTGGACGTTATAAAATACACAGAGACCAGACGTTTATATGATCATATCAAACCAGACCAGACTTAAATAGACCAGACCAGATCAGACCAGAAGTTTCAGTCTAGAAGTTTCAGACCAAAATTATATTATATCAAATTTATAATATAATTTGATATATTATAAATTTCAAAGTTTGGGTCTCACTAAATTAGTAAATATAAATTTACATGACAAACTTTAGTTAAAGGGGTAAACTTAAGGCTCAAGGACAAATAAAATCATTAACCATTGAATTTCTATTTAATCTAGTTTCATTTGCCTTGATAACATGCTGGTCATTTATGCTTGTAAGCCTTATGATGTTTTTACTTGGACTGTAATTTGCTGGTCTGGTCTGGTTTCTTTGTATTTTTATAACTACCCAAGTCTGGTCTGGTCTGGTCTGGTCTGAGACAGATTGTAAAATATGTTTACTTTGCAATCATTTTGATAGTTTCATTTGGAAATAAAATAGCACTCCCACAAACCAAGCATGTACTTGGGGTAGAAATATGCTGAAAGGTTTTACCCATTTGTTTCCATTCCTTCCAACAGATTGTTAATATGCTACAAGGCTACAAGGCACACATTGCACATTTTTATATTCTCGGACCTGTTTCAGGCAATGTCCTTGCTCCACTTCCTATTTATTTCTCCTAGTCCTGGGTTTTTTTAAGTTTGTATTCACACATGCTTTTGGCATTCAGCTTGAAATAATTGTTAGTTTTGTTGTGGCAAAACGGATGGTCACTTCATATGAGGGTACATTCGTCTTTGTGTGATGCTATGTGCTCATATTACTCAACTCCCAGGAAGATGAGAGTCTGTGCAGGCATTGAGTTTTTTACCAGTATTTTAACGCATGTATTGCGCAGATAAACAAAATTTTTGATAGTTTGATGGCAACATATTAATCAAACGCGAAATGTTAATTTTGTTAGACTTCTACGTAAACAACATTCAATGAAAAAGTATTGGCTGATTGTTCTCATCGCAACATAAACATCAACCCAAATGGATGAGTTGCACTATCAAGATTCTTGAATGCAAATTGGATTATACACAAGGATACAAATAAATACTTATTTAGATGTAGGTGACGATTAGTTATAATTATATGTACATTTGTAAAGGCGATGAAGAAGAGCAGTGAGAAAGAAGAATCCTAAAGTCATTGCAATTGAGCAAATAGTTGAAGAAATCGCTCCTTCCATACTCCAATGGTGGTATCTAGTCTGCCCCCTCTCCCGTGGTGGATTGATATGCAGAGTTTCTCACAGAAGAAGATGAGCAATGAAGCAAAAGGTTTTCGAGATAAATTCAGCGTCGCACTGTAGTGACCGTCTCTGACATCACTAGTCATTATCCGCCATCATCTTCGCCATTGCCTTTATTGTCGCTGATTGTTGGTGTTGTTGTTGGTAGACCTTGGTCCACCCCTAACGGTGTCATCGTTTTCTATCCATATTCTAAAATGGTCCTATTTTTTCCATCAAAAACTCACAAGCAACCAAAGCAGAGCCGACCGATCCAGGACAGATACCACTAGGTGCAGTCCTAGTTCTCCTCTAATACCGGGGACAAACCCAATCTGGGAATCAAAACTAGTCCTGAAGTAAATACATCCACCCTAACCGTGGATCCCAAAGCTTCTCTTGGGCATCTCCTTCACCTTCTACTCTAAAACGACTAGGTACATCATGTAAACCCTCCCATTTGATGATTTGAACATGAAGAATTTGGATTAATAAAGCTTAGGGATGGACCCGGGCCGGGCCGGTTCCGGTTCGGGCCTGGGCCTGGCCGGGCCGGTTCCGGTTCGGGCCTGGGCCCGGCCGGGCTTTTGTTTGGGAAGTAGGGAACCGGAACCAGCCCGGGTGACCGGCGGTTCCAAGTCGGGCCGGCTTCCGGTTCAAAGTTATTTTTTTTAATTTTCTTTTGTTTTTCTAAATTACCCCCCGACCCCCCTCACCCCCACCCCCCAAACCCCACCAAAACACCCAGCCCTACCCGGTAGAAACAAAAAAAAAATTGAAAAAAAAAAAAAAAATTGGCCCAAACCGGGCCCGAACCGGCCGGGCTGGTTCAACATTTTCCAGGCCCGAGCCTGAACCGGGAGTTGAGCAGTTCCGGTTGGCCCGAACAGGCCCCAAGACCGGGTACCGGGCCGCCCGACCCGAGTCCACCCCTAATAAAGCTCCCTCCTTTTGCATTGCTCCTCTTTGTTTCTTTCTCTTGTATTTCACACCTACCATTCTATGGCTTCTACCCACCACTGGTAATGTTTTTTAGCAATGGCTTGTTATCATCCGAGTAAATTTCCAATAACAATTAATAAATTATTTGAAGCATCTATGATATAAATATAGTTTGACAGATCAATTCTTTCACCGGCATGCAATCCAAGATTGCTGTGTTTTGTGACTTTTGTCCCACTGAAGCTGAGGCATCGCAACAAGATTGCTTTATTTGATTGCAAGTTTAAATAAATATTGTTGGAAGATAACTATCTGTTATTAATGTCTATCATGATGCAACATGGTAATTTCCATAAGATTGTGAATATCAAAGAGCTTGAAATTTGTGGGTTATTACGTAAAAAACTACACAGGAAACCAATAAAAGGAAAACACATAACACTGGATAAGAAAGCAACATTATAACTGATCTGCTTGGTGTCAATGACAGAAGCGCCATTCCAGTACCGCATTCCTCAATCATAAGATTCGAAAGTGGCATCTGCAAATATCAACATCATCACAACTTATTTGAGTTCAATAATAAAGATAGTTGTATATGCATAAAACACGTTCGATAACATATCATTTGGCTGAAATAACCGACTCTGATGAATTTTCTAGTTTCCCTTGTTTACCCCTCAGTTGCACCTTTCTTTTTACTCTCGCCATTTTCACTTTTTGTTTGACTCACACCAGAGTTTCACCGTACCTGTGACCCTCAATTTCAGTTTTCCTTTGAAACGTCAATTAAGGGAAAGAAGTTGGGTTGACATCCATTTCAGCCAAATAAGTAACTAAAAAGCTACTTATTCCCTGACAAGTTATCTGGCTACCAAACTGGCCTGAAACGCCCAACAACTCCCAGAAAATGGAGAACACTTGTACCAAAAAGAACAACTTGTGAGAGAATAGGTAAGGGGAATGAGCATACCCTAGTAACCCACGCCCAAGCCATGGCCGAGGCGTAACTGATAAGTTAACCGATAAGCCTTGTCTCAAGACCACAACTGTTATTGTGCGCCCCTGATTTTTCTGTGATTCAGCTGCAAGCCTTTGCGACAAGTTGTCACCATATTCAACATTACCAAATTTTACAACTTGGTCCCCAAGTTGTAGTCCATCTTCTGCTGCCGGGGATGCCTCTGTAATTTCATCAATTAGTGCAAAAGGTCTGCTTACAACCATATCAACGTCCATAGCACTTATGCTGGTAGTAGTCGTGCCAATAAAATTAGAAGGCGTCACATTTGAACCTGCAGCATCTCCATGGATACGAAAAATTTATAGTTAAACTACATTAAGGGGAGCTCCCCTCCAATTTAATTGAGGAGGGAAAGGGGGGGAGGATTGAAGAAGTGTTGTCCCCCTCCCCTTCCTATGTCCCCCTCTGCACTCAAACCAAACACACCCTTACTGCAAGTTGGTTCTTTTTTAGATTCAAAAAGTTTATAAATCAGGATTTCTGGGACAGAGAATACAACTAATCAAAGCTAAGTGGGTATGCACTTAAAGACTATAACCAAGCTACGCAAATTATACATGCAATTAAATTGCAATACCAACTAAAACAACTATTAGCAGTAGTTTGGGGAGACTTGAAAGACGAGATGATAACAAGCGGAAACGAGACAGGATATCAACATATCATATATTCTGATTTATTCAATAGGTTAGTTGCCCTGTTTAACACTTTGACCATTAATATATTTAACTGGCTATTTGTAAAAATTATAAATCGAACATCATCAAAAAGTTCACATTAAGACAATTTTTTAATACTTTTCATGGTATATTTTTTAAACATTAATAAATAAAATTTGGACAAAGTAGTGTACACGAATAGTGTAAAAGTCAAAGATACAGACATACTAAACAATGATGTTAGTAGACTAGAAAGCACAGTGAAAACAAACAGGGCAAAGATACGGACATGCTGAACAGGGCAAAAACCCACTAAGGATGTTTTCTTTTGGACTGAAATTTGGTGGCCTGATCTGGTCTGGTCTGCTAAATGTCTGGTCTCTGTGTATTTTATAACTACGGAAGTTTGGTCTGGTTTGATCTGGTCTGGGACTGAAAACAGTCCAAAAGAAAACATCCTAAACATAGGCGGAGGGCGTCAATGCACTAACAAAAGAATCATCTTTCCGATGCAGATTTCTTTCTACTTTATTGTCACTGTAATAGCAAACTCGACTCATTAAATCTTTTCATTAGTTAACCCAATCATTGAATCTAATTAAAGGTATAGTAATTAATTATTTATAGCAATTCTGCTGTAACAAAATTTAAGAAGTACTATCCTGATTAATGTGACTCTTTTTTATTCAATAAGGATGGAGTAAGTATGTTATTAGTAATTGCAGATTACACCATCTGTAAGAGGAAATAATGTTGTCACGGATCCATGACCATGAAGAATGGCAAATACCTGAATCTTGCGTAGTAGAAGATATGGAAGGAAGTCTAGATGAGTGCAGAACTTGGATATATTTGTCCATTTTTGCAGTTAAATCCTTGTGATCATTCCGCAGCTCTGCATGTGAGTAAATGATTAGATGCACACTGATCACAACTCCATCATAATTAAACAGATCACAAAGCAAAACATCAAACTTATAGGTCTACACACATTCCAGAAATCTTTGCAATAAATTATCCCTGGTAGCTATGATTCACCAGCAAAACAATTGTTATGGAAGTTACCAGCAAGCCTATGCCGATCGGCACGCACTGCAGGAATGTCAATGTCTGCTCTAGGGAAACCCTAAATTTAGACGGAAACAAAAGAATCACTTCAAATCAAAACTCAATATGCTAGAAATCAAGGCTGCTTTTAAGTGACAGCACATCTCAAAAGATTAAAAACATCATATAAGTTATGCACGGAGAAAAGGTGGAATTACCTCTGAATCGGTAAGATTTCTGGAGAGACCAGGTCCGTCGGGGCAGCAGAGGCGCTGTATAATGGCATTCATCTCAAGCTCCACACTACTCCTTTGCTCCATCAGCTTTATCGCCTCGGTTTTAAGGTTCGTGCCTACCATTTCCCTTGATATTTCTCTACAACCTTTCACTAGGGTTTTGCTGCTTCCCCACAACAGGGTTTGTGTTCCAGACAGTAGGTGTCAAACAAGAAGAATAATCATGGATATATATTTTTCTTTTTTTTCCCTATTCATGGGAAAAATGTTTATGAAATATAGATGTAGGTAGGGGTGGCCGTGGTCGGCTAACCGGGTTTCGGTTAACCGAGGAATCGGTTACTATACTTTTTATACCAATACCCGTACCATAACTTCGGTTAACCGGGTATCGTTTAACACTTTAACCAAAGCTTCGGTTAATCACAAATTGGTTAACCAAAAAACCTTAAAATCATAAAGATAATAGACTTGCCAAACCGAATAAGCTTACAGAGACACATTACAAACTCCAGCAAATTAAATATATACGAAGTATTAAATTTGTGTAACTGTTAAGTTAGTTAGCAAAATTCTTCTTTTTACTTGGTTCATTTGAGAGTAATCATGTATATAGTATCAAATTTATATGAATACTTGAGAATTCATGAAATCCTACTATTATTATACAATAAAATTTAGATCTTTCCAGCTAGGCAAGCTGTTTCATAGCGAGGGCTAGGCTGATTTTATTGAAAGAATTGAAAGAATCCATTTAGAATCAAGGTGGAAAACAGAATATGTAAGCTGCATTTGATTATTCTACTCCTTACTCCTTTTTGTTGGGCACCTACCCGTTGCACCATGTGCGAACATAGCTAGTAACAAACAATATAACGAAGCATCTATTATGAACTCTCTGTTTATAATAAAACATGTTCTACTCTAGGCGGCGACGCAGCGTGTGTTGTTTCGATTTGCATATATCAATACCAGATTACCAATTTCCAAAAAATTGAAATACTGCCAAGGATGAGTATTTTACCAGATAGAAGGAGAGCTTAGGAAATCAGGAGAGCTTCTTCGAGTAAGAGACAGGGCGGGCAGTTCCGTGTTAGACAGTCGACTGGTAGAGGAAAGAGGAAATTGTTGTCAAAGAGGAACTAAAATCAACTAAGGTTTTCCGGATGATCTAATATTCTTTCCAAAATACTCTCAATTAATTATTACGTAGTATTTCTTTTCATTTAATTTCTTTATAAATATGTAAAAATAATCTTATTATTTACAGGGTTCCGTTAATTTTATGGTAGGTTGTGTGACAACCTTATAAGTGGGACAAATGGACTATGTTTATTAAATATGTAAAAATATCGTAGGTTGTGTGACAACCTTATAAGTGGGACAAATGGACTATGTTTATTTAATTATATTCAAATGTCTATTCTTGTTATTTTCATATTATTTTTTCGTTAACATTTAGATTTTTAAGGTATTTATGTTATATGACTTATTGATTATATTATTCAAATTTTTTATAAGTGGATTTCAAAATTTAATGACAAAATTTATCATCTTTTCTTTAATTTGTAAACAAGTTTTATGAATAACTTGAACATTTTTTAATTTTTTTTTGAAATGATAATAAACATGTTTAGATTAATATTCGAACAAAATTTTTTTATTTCTGTATTATATCTATAACTTGCTACAATTAAACATATTTTACTGAAAAATAATTCAATTAGGTTTGATTTTATTTATTATTAAGATATTTCAATTTTTCTATAATTTTAAATACTTTAGATGTAGGTTGTAATTGATTTATTGTGTTAAGAGAAAATATTTAAAGGGCATTGAAGTAATTCACCACATCTGCAATATAAGATAATTCTCAACCAAATAATTTATGTCACATTCCCTTAATCCGAACCAAACACAAATGTGGAATAGATTGAATACATTCCCATCAATCTAAAATACTCAACAATCTGACATTCCCGTGGTAATCTAACATTCCTTGAACGAAAACATTCCCTAAAAGATTCGATGGATACTGACATCCAATACCTCCCATCAAAATTGAGGAAAATCTCATTGATAGGATAACAGATGTGAGTGCAAATAACAGTTTTATTTTTAAGGGACGGTTATGGTTTTATAAGTGTCAGCCCCATTACTCATCATGTTTATTTTTCATTATATTTATATTACATTTGATTTATTACTTTTGTCCCGAAACTAATAAATAGTGAGATTTTTGTCTTTTGATTGTGTATATGTGGATAATGGATATACTAGCTATAGTTTTTCAATGAAAGTTTAGAATAGGTTTTAATAGTCTTGTTCGATTATTAACATCATTTTTGTGAATAATGCCTTATTAGGGCATTAATTTAGGTTGAATAATGATTCACTTAATAGAGCGGTTACTCGTGTTTATACTAGTCGGCGTTGGGAAGGTTACGAGTAAAAGATGTGACGAAATGATTTAATAAAGCCGTTACTCGTGTTTACTAAAACCATTAGTAAAAGATTTTAGCAACCATTGGTAATTCAATTTTAAATTATGGTGACCATGATGGTTTGTTAGTAGTAACTATACTCATTTTCATCAATATGTTTTATTTCAGCTAGTCATTTTTTATCAATATGTTTTATTATGCCCATGATGGTATGTTGGTAGTAACCTGCATATTGCATACGTATAACAAAACTAAGGTATATATAAAATATACTCCGTATATAAAAACAAAATTAAAAAGTACATGCATTTTGCATCGTATAACAAAACTAAGGTGTATATAAAATATACTCCGTATATATATAAAAACAAAATAAAAAAGTACATGCATGCATCTTCATTACTACATTCTAGAAATTTTGGGAAACACCGAACATGAGAGATTTCTCCTCAAAATCTCTTAGCTCAGCTAGAGGAACAAGTCATTATATTGCATTTTGCGTATGAGTAACTCTCGGAACCATGCATATTTCCATTACACTGCACTCTTGCAGCATTGTGATTTTTAAACTATTCACAACTTTACTTTGACCACAATTTTTTACTAATATACATAATCAAATTATTAAGTATAAAATGTTATTGAATGCCTATTAATGTGAATCTTCAAAATATCAACTTTTTATAATGTTTACTTATTCATAATTAAATATAATTACAGTCAAAGTTGTGCATTAGCAAATGTGAAAGAACGGAGGATAGTATACAAACAAGAGAAAGAACTAATTTCTCTCCTACTTGTATTCTTTGACACCCCTTATCTAAACGAACTCCACTTTTCAATCTTTACCAAAACTTGAATTCCATACGGTACACTATAAGTACACAATGAATATTTTGATGATGGATTCATATGTAGTACTTCTTTATTCATTGCTAAGTCACTTGTAAGACAACAACAATGTCAGTTGCATCACCACCACACCCACCACCACCACCGCTACTGCTGTTGCCATAACACAAACACTTGTTGTGACTCCAAGAACCGTCCACCAAAACAAACATTTCAGGTCTTTTGCAAAAGTAATCCCAATGTTTCCCTCAGCATTCGAGGCGGCTCGGTTGTCCTAGCTAGCCCAGAAGGACCGGTCCGACCCGCACCAGCACTGGTTCAAGGAAGATAAGGCATCTGCCGTAATCAAAGATGCTAAAGGGCTCCCAAGCTTTGCACTGGTCAACAAAGCCACTGGCCAAGCGATCCAGTACCCCGTTAGCACCCATCATACACTGAGGCTTGTCCCATACGATGCTGATGGGGTCCTTGATGGATCTATGTTGTGGGTTATGAACTTCAACAAAACGCCTGAACAGTATATGGGCATTCGGCAGCAAAACAACATGGCCCTTCATATGGACGCATTCAACAAAGATCACCCGAAGCCCGTACATGATGGGACACAAGTCGGGGCATGGGAATGGCTTGGAGGTGACAACCAATGGTGGAACATCCTTCCTTATTGATCTCTAATCTACTTACATCATCATACTTACTAGCATTTTTGAATTTATAAATAACATATACTCGGGACTCTGGTCGTGAACAAAATACCCGATAAATTGTGATATCATCACATGTACTTGAATAACTTGTTCACAATACTTCATCTTTTCATTCAATTCTAAAAGAGGAATAAACACGAATGTTACTTATAGCTTAAATAAGTTACTCGACTTTTGAGTTTTGATATTTAATGTGTTTTCTTTTGGTTTTAATTGGTTTACCTTTTGGTAATGCTACTACTAATAAGTAATAATATTATATATTGTCCTTGTATTATTATGGACAGTTTTAAATTTGTTTGTGCAAGACGGTTTAGAAGCATTATTGGATCAGTTCGTGAATATGGACAAGGGTAGCACCTAAACTCATTTGGGGTAGACCGGTAGTAATTTAATGAAGCAACCTTGACAAGTTCATTTGACTCATTATGTGTTTGATATTGTACGTGCATTTCTAATGACTTCTAGATCTATAGGTTGAAAGAATATACTCCTCCATCCTAGCTAGAACCTGACGTTTGTTTTTAGCACCGTATTTTAGGAGCTCAATTAATGAAGAACAAATGTCTTGCATGGTCTTTGAAGAACAACTTTGAAGAGATTTTAATGTAGTTTTTGAATATGTAAATTTTAATTATTAAAAATTGAATTAATTATGCGTAGGGAGGGTTGAATTTTATTATTGGTTGACTAAAAAATGTTGACTTTGCAAAACAAATTGGGACGGAGGGAGTACTACATATTACGATAGTATGTTTTTGTTTTAATAAATTGTATTTTATATGTAAAGTTTGATATTTATATACTCCGTGTATTTTAGGTTTAAGGTTTATATATATTTTTTATTTTACATACGAAGTATTATAATTATCCCATTTAAAATATCATGAGTTCCACAATAACTGTCTCACTTACCTAGTACGTAGTACTACGTACTTGTATTATTTTTTAAATCCAATGCTACACGATGCTAGTGGTGGACTCGGGCCGGGTGACCTGACCCGGAACCGGCCCGGGACCAGCACTGTTCCGGCCCGGCCAGTGACCGGTCCAGGTAGGCCCGACCCGGGGGGTTTCCGGTCCGGGCTCGGGTCACCCGAAACATGAACCGGCCCGGGCGGTCCGGGCCCGGTTCCGGGCTTTTTTTTCAACTTTTTTTTTAAAACCCCGGATTGGGTATTTTGGGCCGTTTGGGGTGGTTTGGGGGGTTGGGGGTTGGGGGGGGTGTCGGGGGGTAATTTGAAAAAGGAAAAAAAATGTAAGAGGCCCGAGGCCCGGCCGGGACCCAGTGGCTACACGGGCCGGTCGCGGGCCCAACATTTCCTAACCGGCGGCCCGGTCGGTCTTAGGCCCGGCCCGGGCCTGAACCGACCCGAGTCCAGCACTACACGATGCACATAGAGAGATAAACATAAATGATTAAAGTTATGAGATATCTCTCTTCTTCTTTTTACGGTCTTATGTGTTTTTGATGAGTTTTTATAAACAATGTCAACCACAATGTCTACATCTAGATATTGTCTTTGACATTGTGAAAAAAAACTTATCAAAAACATATAAAAACCATTCAAATAAGGAAATAAATATTCAATCTATTGTTTTCAATTGACTATCTCTCAAACCCTATCTAATTGCTGGTAAACCGAGTCCCGTTACATGGCTAGGTTTCGCGGATGATCTGTTGATATTCCAGAATGGTACTATGGTAGTGCTCCCTCCCTCAAACGGCTCCTAGATTACTTGGACACATTCAGAAGAGCATCAGGGCAGATGATTAACCTACACAAAAGCTCCCTCATTGTTGGCAAATGTGTTACAGCAAGTAGAAAAATCAATCTGGACAAAATGACTCGTATGGCAGTCACTACCATGCCTTTTACTTATCTTGGTGCTGTCATTCACCATGGAATCACAAGAGCAACTCACTGCATGAAAATTATCTCCTCATTTGAAGATAGACTGAAGTCCTGGAACAAGAAAATGCTTAGTCAAAGTGGAAGACTCGTCCTAATAAATTAAGCATGTCATATCCTCTATCCCACTATACCACATGGCTGTCAGTAAATTCCCGGTTAAACTTATCCAAATTCTACATAGAATGATGTCCAATTTCTTTTGGGGATTTTCTGGGAATAAAACCAAATACCATTGGGTAAGTTGGAAGAAAATATGCAGACCAGGAGGGGAAGGGGGATTGAACATCAGATCTCTTTTTCACATTCAAGATGCAATGCAAATCAAGGTCTGGTGGACCTATATGGAAAACAATTCTACGTGGGCTATGTATATGCATGGTAGGTATCACAGAGAAGGGCTAATGCAATCTAAACAAAAGGACTCTTGTTCTTGGAAGCAGATTTGCAACACTGCCTCAAAACACCACTCCTTAATCCATACTACAAAAGACTCTACCATTTGGACTCCAGAAACTAGTGGGCATTTCTCCCTCACTAATGCCTATCACCATTCCTGAGACCACCACCCCTTTACCTTCACCCAAGTACACAACTGGGAACCCCCACTTCAATTGAAAATCAAAATCTTCATCTGGAAAATCCTAACTCACTCCCTCCCATTCCCAGAGCACCTCAAACGCTTCAAAATACAAATGGTGTCCAGATGCCCTTTCTGCCTAGCCAACAGTGAAACTCAAGACCATGTTTTATTTAACTGTGCTAACATCAGACCAATTTGGGCCTACTTTTCTCATATTTTGCAGGTCAGAACTACTACAAACATGGAACTAAGGCAAACCCTTATGCTGTGGTGGCTAGGAGGAAAAGGAGGTAATACCAAGGACAAGCTCATACAGTGTATGCCAGGTATAATCGTGTGGCATATATGGAAATCCTACAATGACTGCACTTGGGAGGATAAACAGTTTTCAAGAGCATCCACAATCAACTCCATCAAAGACTACTCCAGAAAATGGATTTACACTAATCAACACAAAAAATGGTTCAAGTTCGATGAGGAACTATACTCAGACGGACTCATCCCATACATCAGAAAAAATCATACATCACAGATACTAAGGTGGAAGAATAAAAACAATTTGGGCCTTATTCTTAACACGGACGCAGCCTATTTCCCTCACATCAGTGCAGGGGGTTCAATTTTACGTGAAGCATGTGGTACCTTCAAATCTGCCATTGCTTTCCCTCTATCATCAATGACTCCTCTCCAGGCTGAGATGCTTGCGATTCAGTTCTCAAGTCATGAAATGATAAAAAAAAAAAAAAAGGTTACAGCTCTTTTCACGTTCAATCTGATTCAGAAAACTGCATCAAAATGATTCTGGGGTTTACTTCTATACCTGGTTATCTGACATCAATGGTAAGCGACATCAACAACCTGAAACGAACGTTCTCCCTATCTTTCCGTCACCGGCCAAGGGAAATGTTACGCTGAAGAATATTAGAGGAATAGGAATATTATATTATTTATTTTATTGCCTTACTTAATCTCTTTTCCATATACTATTGTTGCCAATTTATTATTATTATACTAGAATATTCTTTAGTTAATAATTTCCATGGACATCATCATGTATAAGAGGGGCGGCAGACCCTAATTCCAAATACGAAGCATTATTCCTGTAAGAATTCTAGTTATATACACGTATATCTTCTGTCATGGTATCAGAGCCAAATCGATCCATGGTGTGGGGCCCCTTATGAATCGTGATGACACGGTTATAAAAATGGTCGGATGAAAAAAAAAACGGACCGATGAAAAAAAAATGAATGATTGCACGATCCAGACGAAGTGTCTGGTCGTGAGGAGGGGTGTTAAATGTCCCACACCGGAAACGTTTGGATGAACAAAGTGCTATATTAACACACGGGCTACTCCTCCTATTAGGTTGACCTTTTAGGATGGAACCCCAGGTCTTAACATGGTATCAGAGCCCACGTAATAGTGCTGATACGTTGATTGCCGGACGGTGATGGCAGGACACGACGAAGAAGAATCTTCTTCATCAACAAAGATTAACCACGCCTCTTCAACGGACAGAGTTACGGATGACATCAACAACTCAGCTTCTCTTTCTGGTTTCACCGGGGAGCAGTGGAACGTTTTGGTGGCAGCTCTCGGTAACCCTCAAACACAATCCGAAAGAGTGTCTGGTAAATTTGATATTTCCTCTTGGATTATCGACACAGGTGCATCCAATCACGTGACGGGTGATGTTTCTTGCTTGACTAATATTCGAGAGGTTCCCTCTCGCCTGGTTGGACTACCTGACGGACAACATGTAGTTGCTACCAAGGAGGGCATAGTTCAGTTGACTAGTACCGTGGATCCCAAAGCTTCTCTTGGGCATCTCCTTCACCTTCTACTCTAAAACGTCTAGGTACATCATGTACACCCTCCCATTTGATGATTTGAACATGAAGAATTTGGATTAATAAAGCTTAGGGATGGACCCGGGCTGGGCCGGTTCCGGTTCGGGCCTGGGCCCGACCGGGCTTTTGTTTGGGAAGTAGGGGACCAGAACCGGCTCGAGTGACCGCCGGTTTCGGGCCGGGCAGGTTTCCGGTTCAATGTTATTTTTTTATTTTCTTTTGTTTTTCAAAATTACCCCCGACCCCCCCCCCCCCAAACCCCCCCCCCCCCAAAACACCCAGCCCTACCAGGTAGAAACCAAAAAAAATTGAAAAAAAAAAAAACAAATTTGGCCCAAACCGGGCCCAGACCGGCCGGGCTGGTTCAACATTTTCAAGGCCCGAGCCCGAACCGGAAGTTGAGCGGTTCCGGTTGGCCCGAACCGGCCCCAAGACCGGGTACCGGGCCACCCGACCCGAGTCCACCCCTAATAAAGCTCCCTCCTTTTGCATTGCTCCTCTTTGTTTCTTTCTCTTGTATTTCACACCTACCATTCTATATTTCTATGGCTTCTACCCACCACTGGTAATGTTTTTTAGCAATGGCTTGTTATCATCCGAGTAAATTTCCAATAACAATTAATAAATTATTTGAAGCATCTATGATATAAATATAGTTTGACAGATCAATTCTTTCACCGGCATGCAATCCAAGATTGCTGTGTTTTGTGACTTTTGTCCCACTGAAGCTGAGGCATCGCAACAAGATTGCTTTATTTGATTGCAAGTTTAAATAAATATTGTTGGAAGATAACTATCTGTTATTAATGTCTATCATGATGCAACATGGTAATTTCCATAAGATTGTGAATATCAAAGAGCTTGAAATTTGTGGGTTATTACGTAAAAAACTACACAGGAAACCAATAAAAGGAAAACACATAACACTGGATAAGAAAGCAACATTATAACTGATCTGCTTGGTGTCAATGACAGAAGCGCCATTCCAGTAACGCATTCCTCAATCATAAGATTCGAAAGTGGCATCTGCAAATATCAACATCATCATAACTTATTTGAGTTCAAATATAAAGATAGTTGAAGAGGCATAAAACACGTTCGATAACATATCATTTGGCTGAAATAACCGACTCTGATGAATTTTCTAGTTTCCCACTTTCCCTTGTTTACCCTCAGTTGCACCTTTCTTTTTACTCTCGCCATTTTCACTTTTTGTTTGACTCACATCAGAGTTTCACCGTACCTGTGACCCTCAATTTCAGTTTTCCTTTGAAACGTCAATTAAGGGAAAGAAGTTGGGTTGACATCCATTTCAGCCAAATAAGTAACTAAAAAGCTACTTATTCCCTGACAAGTTATCTGGCTACCAAACTGGCCTGAAATGCCCAACAACTCCCAGAAAATGGAGAACACTTGTACCAAAAAGAACAACTTGTGAGAGAATAGGTAAGGGGAATGAGCATACCCTAGTAACCCACGCCCAAGCCATGGCCGAGGCGTAACTGATAAGTTAACCGATAAGCCTTGTCTCAAGACCACAACTGTTATTGTACGCCCCTGATTTTTCTGTGATTCAGCTGCAAGCCTTTGCGACAAGTTGTCACCATACTCGACATTACCAAATTTTACAACTTGGTCCCCAAGTTGTAGTCCATCTTCTGCTGCCGGGGATGCCTCTGTAATTTCATCAATTAGTGCAAAAGGTCTGCTTACAACCATATCAACATCCATAGCACTTATGCTGGTAGTAGTCGTGCCAATAAAATTAGAAGGCGTCACATTTGAACCTGCAGCATCTCCATGGATACGAAAAATTAATAGTTAAACTACATTAAGGGGAGCTCCCCTCCAATTTAATTGAGGGGGGAAAGGGGGGGAGGATTGAAGAAGTGTTGTCCCCCTCCCCTTCCTATGTCCCCCTCTGCACTCAAACCAAACACACCCTTACTGCAAATTGGTTCTTTTTGAGATTCAAAAAGTTTATAAATCAGGAATTCTGGGACAGAGAATACAATTAATCAAAGCTAAGTGGGTATGCACTTAAAGACTATAACCAAGCTACGCAAATTATACATGCAATTAAATTGCAATACCTACTAAAACAACTATTAGCATTAGTTTGGGGAGACTTGAAAGACGAGATGATAACAAGCGGAAACGAGACAGGATATCAACATATCATATATTCTGATTTATTCAATAGGTTAGTAAATGTATCGTACAATATCGCCCTTCTTATTTAGTTGCCCTGTTTAACTCTTTGACCATTAATATATTTAACTGGCTATTTGTAAAAATTATAAATCGAACATCATCAGAAAGTTCACATTAAGACAATTTTTTAATACTTTTCATGGTATATTTTTTAAACATTAATAAATAAAATTTGGACAAAGTAGTGTACACGAATAGTGTAAAAGTCAAAGATATAGACATACTAAACAATGATGTTAGTAGACTAGAAAGCACAATGAAAACAAACAGGGCAAAGATACGGACATGCTGAACAGGGCAAAAACCCACAAAGGATGTTTTCTTTTAGACTGAAATTTGGTGGCCTGGTCTGATCTGGTCTGGTAAACGGGGTCTCTGTGTATTTTATAACTACGGAAGTTTGGTCTGGTCTGATCTGGTCTGGGACTGAAAACAGTCCAAAAGAAAACATCCTAAACTTAGGCGGAGGGCGTCAATGCACTAACAAAAGAATCATCTTTCCCATGCAAATTTCTTTCTACTTTATTGTCACTGTAATAGCAAACTCGACTCATTAAGTCTTTTCATTAGTTAACCCAACCATTGAATCTAATTAAAGGTATAGTAATTAATTATTTATAGCAATTCTGCTGTAACAAAATTTAAAAGTACTATCCTGATTAATGTGACTCTTTTTTATTCATTACGGATGGAGTAAGTATGTTATTAGTAATTGCAGATTACACCATCTGTAAGAGAAAATAATGTTGTCACGGATCCATGACCATGAAGAATGGCAAATACCTGAATCTTGTGTAGTAGAAGGTATGGAAGGAAGTCTAGATGAGTGCAGAACTTGGATATATTTGTCCATTTTTGAAGTTAAATCCTTGTGATCATTCCGCAGCTCTGCATGTGAGTAAATGATTAGATGCACACTGATCACAACTCCATCATAATTAAACAAATCACAAAGCAGAACATCAAACTTATAGGTCTACAAACATTCCAGAAATCTTTGCAATAAATTATCCCTGGTAGCTATGATTCACCAGCAAAACGATTGTTATGGAAGTTACCAGCAAGCCTGTGCCGATCGGCACGCACTGCAGGAATGTCAATGTCTGCTCTAGGGAAACCCTAAATTTAGACGGAAACAAAAGAATCACTTCAAATCAAAACTCAATATGCTAGAAATCAAGGCTGCTTTTAAGTGACAACACATCTCAAAAGATTAAAAACATCATATAAGTTATGCACGGAGAAAAGGTGGAATTACCTCTGAATCGGTAAGATTTCCGGAGAGACCAGGTCCGTCGGGGCAGCAGAGGCGCTGTATAATGGCATTCATCTCAAGCTCCACACTACTCCTTTGCTCCATCAGCTTTATCGCCTCGGTTTTAAGGTTCGTGCCTACCATTTCCCTTGATATTTCTCTCCAACCTTTCACTAGGGTTTTGCTGCTTCCCCACAACAGGGTTTATGTTCCAGACAGTAGGTGTCAAACAAGAAGAATAATCATGGATATATATTTTTCTTTTTTTTCCCTATTCATGGGAAAAATGTTTATGAAATATAGATGTAGGTAGGGGTGGCCGTGGTCGGCTAACCGGGTTTCAGTTAACCGAGGAATCGGTTACTATACTTTTATATCAATACCCGTACCATAACCAATGTTCGAAATTGCGTATTGCGTAATCATGGCGGTTTTTTAAAATTGCATATTGCGTAAGCCTCATTGCGCAATGAGGCGTATAGCTGAGGCGTAAGTGTGTGTGTGTATATATATATATATATATATATATATATATATATATATATATATTGTATATTGGTCATGTTGAAAGCTGAAAGTTAACAGCAGGAAAATCATAAAGTATTCAAAGGCAGAAAATTAATTTTTTAATATTTAGTATTAAATTCAATAGACACAAAAACTAAGCATCAAACAGAGAAAAGAAGTTGTACCGTTGAACTGAAGAAGACGACCAAATGAAAGCTGTAGAAGTGGCAAGCAGGAAGAACCGTAGAAGGCGCAATATTAAAAGTT